TGGTGTAGGATACATGATGTCTTGGTGATTTAGGTTTTTATTCCATCTGCGGCTTATATGCTTTGTCAGTTGGCTTCGTGCGTGCGCGTATGTGTGAATGTGTATGATCATGTGTATACGTTGTGTTGTGTGCGTATGTGCTTTCATTCATGCTTCCATTGCATTAATAACACATGTCTGTGGGTTTAAAAAATTGGGATCAAACTATCATTTCCGAGAAGGTTCTTTGCGCACTCAGTGAGTGTGTGGATTTGGTAGAATTGACCTTTTTTTAAGATCACACAGATTGTGTTGTTTCATGTGACAGTTGGATGATTCAGAAACTGTGCTATTGAGCTCCCCCCCATGCTAGGCAGGGGATGCGGTAGTGTGGACCCGGATCAGGCGATCGAGGGAGTCAACATCATTGCGGATGAGCTTCGGAAGTGTGGCCTGCGGTGCAACCTGGAGAAATTCTCCGCGTGGAGCCCGGCAGGCTGCCCTGACGGGCTCCCAGAGGGTCTGGTGGCGGCGATCGATGGCATTCGTGTGCTTGGGAGCCCGGTGGGGACAAGGGAGCATGGGCGGCGGTTCATACGTTCAGCTCTTCGAAAGGTGGCGGAACCGCTCTCCCTCATCAGCAAACTGCACCCACAACATGCACTCCTACTGCTCTCTAGATGCGTGTCGCGGCGTATCTCGTATATGCTGCGCACGACCCCGACCGACACATTACCGCTAGTGGAATGGAGAGACTGGAGCGAGGACCTACTATGGACGGCACTGAAGGCGGCGCAGATGTACGCACCAGCCAGTGAAATGGAGCGGAGCCTTGTGTGGCGGCAGGCGACGCTACCAGTTTGCCTGGGAGGGCTGGGGTTGATAGACCCACTCTCCGAGGCGCCGGCGGCATACCTAGCTTCACTACACGCGGCAACACACACTGCTCCGTCAAACAGTGATGGAGCACGACAACCCTCTGCAGCACGTGGCAGGCCTGCTCGCTCCCATGAAGGAGGAAGACGGGGCGGGGGGAGGAGGGGTGACGCTCCAGGACCTCAGGAACAGGCTCCCAGAGCAGGCCCGGGAGGTCCTGAAGGCACACCACCAGAAGGGGGACGGGAAAGGGCACCTGCAGCTACTCCTATCGAGGCACATCAACCAGGACAGGGCTGCGGAGTTGGTGGGCGACACGAGGAAGGACAAGCCCGGGATAGACAACGGACACGTGATCCGCCTCATCAGTTTGCAAGGGGTGGGGGCGGGGGACTGGCTGCACGCCATCCCCACGAGAGGTGACCTCACTTTCTCACCGGGCCAGTTTGCAGTTGCGCTTGGGTTTCGGTTGGGACCGCCCCTGGCAGTGACGGAGAAGTGCCCCTGCAAAGGCAAGCGGTCGGACATCACAGATAGGAGCCTACCGAACCACCTGCAGCAGTGCGCCGACGGAGGGGACAGGACGAACACCCACAACGCCCTGGTGTATGCGGCGCTGCGTATGGCCCAGGAAGCGGACTACACTACCCTGCACGAGTCAGCGGCCTTCTCGCCTATCACTAACCAAAAGCGAGCGGACCTGGTGATTCGTGACAAGGAGTCCAACGAGACCTACGTCACTGACGTGACGGTCACGGATCCTGTTCTGCAGCGACGCGATAAGAGGGCAGTCAAGGCACCAGGGTGGGCGGCAGAGGACGCGGCCAGGGTGAAGCGGGGCCTGTACGAGGGGCGCCCTGGCTTTGTAGGGGTGTTCGGTTTGGCGGTGGAGACCTACGGGGCATTGGCTAAGGATACCCAACGGTTCCTACGCCTCCTGGGAACACAGGCAGCAAAGAAGAAGCACAGGCAGGGGAGACTTACTGCCGTGGCCTCTCGGATCACGGCGCATTACCGACAGAGGTGGTCGGTCATGCTCCAGCGCTGCCAAGCGAATGCCCTGATGGCCAAGTCCAACAAGGCACTCGAGGCAGAACACCCCCAGGCAGCAGCTGACCCGTGGGAACCAAGCCTTGGGGACCTCTGGCAGGTCCTCGAGGATGACATGGCCCAACTACTCGACCTGGGGGAGTAGAGGGCCGGGCCGACTGCAGTTGGGCTGGCCCAACCGCAAGACACCGCCCTCGGCTGGACCGAGCAGGAGGGGATGTAGCCTCTGGTGAAGGCTTGAGCAGGCCGGCAGTGGTCTAGCCCCAAGGCCAGGTGTGGTCGCTCTGCAGCCTAGTATAGCAAACTAGTGCAACGGATGCCATGTATGTGATTCTGTCGGTTGTTGTTGTTATCTCTGCATGCCTAGGCTAACTTGCTTGCTAGGACTGCCGCTGCCTTGCTTGTACCTTTACAACACATCAATGCAGGACTGCTTGAGAGAGAGAGAGAGAGAGAGAGAGAGAGAGAGAGAGAGAGAGAGAGAGAGAGAGAGAGAGAGAGAGAGAGAGAGAGAGAGAGAGAGAGAGAGAGAGAGATTGTTCTGACGCCTTCCGTCACTTCACGACGGAATTGCGCGATGTGGGACTGACCCACAACCCAGAGAAGTGCGCCGCATGGAGTGCAGCAGCCACAGATCCCCAACAGCTGCCCGAGGGTGTCCCGCTCCACGCGGAGGGATTGCGGGTGCTTGGGAGCTTCATAGGCTCAACAGACGGTGCAGCGGCCTTTCTACGGTCACAGCTAGAGACAATGTCGTCCCCACTGACCCACATAGCCACCATGGACCCACAAGTAGCGGCGCTGCTACTAACGCGGTGTATCTCCAGGCGCATCTCGTACCTAGCACGCACCACACCTCTTTACCTGCTACCCGAAGCTGAGTGGTCAAGGTGGGGGCGGGCACTGCTGTACACGCTTCTAGATGCTTGCGGGGTGCGCCACCCGAGGGGCGAGGCAGAGGACGGACGGATCTGGGACCAAGCCTCACTCCCTCCAAGCCTAGGCGGCCTGGGGCTTGCCGACCCATCAGTGGAGGGCCGATACAGTTTTCTGGCGAGTCTCGTGCAGGCACACTCACTCCTCAGCCAGTTGGGGGGACAGGCAGGGGCCACATTGACAGCAGCACTGGACACCCCCGCAGCAGCTGATCACAGCCCCACTGAACTGCAGCGGTGGATCAGGGACTGCAGGGACAGCCTCTCGCAGGAGGCGAGGGATCTTATCTCGGCGGAGCAGGCAAAACCCAAGGGCCAGCTGCAACACCGCTTGGCACTCCTAGTCCAAGGGGGCCGGAGTGCCGCCCAGATCACAGCATCCAGGCAAATGGAGTTGAACCCCCTGCTGGGCCACACCCAGCGCCTCATGTCCCTCACGGGCTATGGGGCGGGGGACTGGCTCATGGCAATCCCCTACATGCCTTCACTGCGCCTATACCCCTGCCACTTCACATTCGCCCTCCAGTTCAGGCTAGGCATGCCACTCTCTGTACCAGATTGCTGTGACTGCAACAAACGAGTCCCCATCCTGGACAAAAGATTGCCGAACCACTTGCTCCGGTGTGGCACTGGGCACGGCCGGACCAACACCCACGACGAGCTGCGGGATGAATGCATCCGCATGGCACAGGACGCGGGGTTTGCCATGCACAAGGAGTGCACTGCCTTCAGCCCGGTGGATAACAAGAAGGCTGACCTGGCCTTTAGGGACGGGAGCTCAGGAGCGGTGTGGCTGGCTGACGTTACGATAACAGACCCCATCAGCAAACGGGACGAGACTGCAAGGAAGGGGAGGGGCTGGGCAGCACGGGAGGCAGCAGACAAGAAGATAGGCCTCTACCTCGGCAGGGCAGAGTTTGCAGGGTTTGTCCCCTTGGCAGTTGAGACCTACGGCTGCCCCTGCGACGAGGTACCTGCCTTCCTGAAGCTGCTGGCGGACAAAGCTGCACGGAGAATCTTCAATGCGGACCCATCTACCTATCAGGCCGCGAAGATGCTCCACCAGTTCCGCCAACGCTGGTCCATTGCACTCCAGAGAGCCCAAGCAGTGAGCTTCCTCACAAAGCTGAATCTGGCAGCCCGAGCAGAGAACCCCCCACTGGGGGGACCAGAGGGGGAGATGAACCCCGGGGACTGCTTCACAACACTCGAGGCACCTTAGACATAGGGGGGGGGGGGGGGGGGGGGGGGGGGAGGTGGGTGGGTAGGGGTGTGTGGTTGCTTGCTTGCGTGTTCGGTTGCTCCATAGGTTTTGTTTGCTTGTCCTTATGATAGCTGAAATCTCCCTTAGGATCTGCATGTCTGTACCAGCCCCTGTTATCAATACAAAGGACCGTTTGAGAGAGAGAGAGAGAGAGAGAGAGAGAGAGAGAGAGAGAGAGAGAGAGAGAGAGAGAGAGAGAGAGAGAGAGAGGCCCTAGGAGCTAGTCCTTAGCCTCTCCAGCCCTCTCCAGCCTAGTATTTAGCTCAGTTGGCCTGCTCACTCTCCTCATTGTTCGGTTCCTCTTCATTTGCTTCTCCTAACCGAGCGGGAGAGAGCGAGAGAGAGAGAGAGAGGCCCTAGGAGCTAGTCCTTAGCCTCTCCAGCCCTCTCCAGCCTAGTATTTAGCTCAGTTGGCCTGCTCACTCTCCTCATTGTTCGGTTCCTCTTCATTTGCTTCTCCTAACCGAGCGGGAGAGAGCGAGAGAGAGAGAGAGAGGCCCTAGGAGCTAGTCCTTAGCCTCTCCAGCCCTCTCCAGCCTAGTATTTAGCTCAGTTGGCCTGCTCACTCTCCTCATTGTTCGTTTCCTCTTCATTTGCTTCTCCTAACCGAGCGGCTCGCGCCGGCCGCGGCCGACGCTCGACGGCGTGGCCTTCGGCCACGTGTGAGGGAACGGCAAGCAATAGCACAAAGAGTTGTTCATAAAGGCAAAACACGCATGGCAAGTCCTACCGCGGCCTAGCCGCGCAAACCCCTAATGGGGCAACTGGAGCCCGCGCCTACATGCGGTGAGCTCCAAGGGCGTGAAGGACGCCCGTCAGGGTCCGCCATAGCTCCCGGACCACAAGCGTGCTTGCGCCGATCGCGGCGGATCCAGAACCTGCACGCAAATGGTGCCTCAAGCCGCGGACAGCCTCATCAAGTGCCCCGCAGACGCAACGCCTCCCTCGGCGGGTGCAGCCAGCACGGGCGCCAGCAGCACTGCGAGCTGATCGGCTGCATCCAAGCATGCCTCTCGATGACGATCCTGGAACCTCTCGGGGGGAACCACAGGGAGAGACGAGTGAGCGAGAACCTGTATCAGGAGCAGTGCGTGAAAGCTCTCCGCGAGACGGAAGAGCTGGGCGAGAGTCGCCTCGGGAACACGGGACTGAGGGGGTTGTAATGCCTGAGCGAGAAATTGAAACGGCTCTTGGACAGCATGAGAGGTCGATCCAGCGACGCCGGTTGGAAGATAATGCGCCCCCGCCGCCCCACCTCCCGCCGCCACAAATTCTACTCCCGCCACGGGCGGAACAGGCGGCATACGAAGCCGAGATCCAGGTTCCGGAGCGGGGGCAGCAGCGGCAGGAGCCGACGAGGCCGGAATCTGAGGAGGGATTGGTGCAACAGGAAGCGGACTCTCAGGGAGCACTGGCTGACGACGCGCGGAATAGGCCTCGCCGGCGCGTGAACTGCCCTGGGTCGGAGCAGCCCTCTCCTCACGCACCGCGGTCGTTACCGCCCGCTGCAGATCCGCCATCCTCACAGGCGGATCGTACGCCCCTCCACCTCCGCGACCGCGGGGACCCCGCCAGCCACCACGACCGCCACGGTTCGCGTGCCACTGGCCCTGCTGCTGGTAGCGCCGCGGAGAATTGCGGCGACGTCTTGAGGACTCACGGTCCTGGTGGGGAGCTGGAGAGTGGGGGCGAGACGGGCGGCGGTCCGGCGACGGTGGACGAGACGGCGGCGCCACTGGAGCCATCGGCACAACAGGGGCGGCCGGATCCACTGCCGGCGCAACCACCGGGGCCGGGCCGCCAGTGGTGGCGGACGCCGCCTGCGGTGACGAGGCAGAGGCATGCGTCGGCAAATCGGGGACGGCAGCAGGTGGCCCAGCGGGCACGGGAGCCGGGAGTTCAGCGACAGTCGCCGGAGGTGCTGCATGTGGGGCCTGGGGAACAGTCGGCGCAGCCGGGACAGACGACACAGCAGCAGCAGTTGCGGCAGACTGAGGGACAGCAGTTGCCGACGAACCGGGCGCAGCCGCGACAGGAGGAGATGCGGGTTCGAGGAGAGGAGGCTTTTCAGAGAATGTTGTCGAGGGCTTCGGAGCCGGAGGCACAGGGGGATTCGTCGCCGTGGTCGCCTTTCCGGGCTCAGACTGAGGCTTGGCGACCACTGCCGACCAGGCGGCAACGCGCTCTGGCGACGGCTCAGGCGCACCGGCAATCACCATCGCGGGGTCGAGGAGCTCGAAGGGACAGGAGCCAAGAAACCAGCGGAGCAGGCGGAGGGCCGGAGAACGGGTATCAGGCGGCTGGACGAAGGGCTTTAATAGCTGTGGTAGCAGCTAATGAGGTTGAGGAGAGAAATGACCCCTCTTATACCGCGGAGGAGCAACCAGAAAGTGAAAATGACGATGAAGATGGAGAAGGAGCAACACGGGCACGAACCGGAGAGAGCGGTCCAGGAGCAGTCAATTTGCCCATGGCAGGAACGGAGAGGCAAGCTGGACCGTCCGATGGGGATCGAACGGACGCGAATCCAACCAGGCGGCAATCAGGGAGAGCGAGCCGCGCTCATAGACTTTGGACCGCACCTCTCCACCCCGCGTCACGCGACAACACGCAGCTCCCCCGCTATTTTTCGCCAGAAGAGCTGGCTGAGAGGAGCGACATGTTCGCTGACATCGCGAACTGGGATATTTCCGCTCTCTGCGACAGCCGACAACCGCCCCTGTCACGCAGATTACCGCCAAATTTGTGCCAGTTATTTTCGCTGGCACTTCTGACCCCGCTACACCATCTCTCGCGAAACCCGGATTCCGAAGCAGGTTGGCGACTGCTACTTTTTCTCCCGCGCTTGACCCTTCGCCAGGCTTCGCCAAAGCATCCAAACTGGCCCCAAATCAAGGCCCGGCTTCGGGCCTTCCAGCGTGGCGACTGGATGGAGCTTTACCAGGATGCAGTAAACGCGGTCAACACCCCTCCGCCCCCGCGTCACCAACCCGACACGACAGGTGTACTGAGTCGAGCCGAGGGGTTGGCGAAACGTGGCAGCCTGCGCCGAGCCGTGCTGGCGCTTGAGTCAACGCCCGTCTGCACACCGAGCCCAGAAATCCTGGACGAACTACGCCAGAAACACCCGCCAGCAGAGGATGGGTCGCTGACCTGGCAAGAGGCCGATACCCGACAACTGTGCGTTTCCCACGCGGAATTTGCGAAACTCCTTGGCGATGTGAGAATGGTGTGGGGGCCGGACCATCGGGTACCACATTTGAGCATCTGCGCGACGCGGCAGTAACCAATGCAGCAGTCAGCACCCATCTGCATGCCTTGGTAAACACAATTCTGGGGGGAAACCTCCCAGCCTCGGTAGCGGACCTCCTCATTGCATCCCGACTCATAGCCCTGGCCAAGCCTGGGGGAGGGGCCCGACCAATCGCAATCGGCGAATGCCTGACGCGGTTAGCTGCCAAGGCTGCGCTCTTGGTCATGGGCGAAGCTGCACGCGAACATTTTCTTCCCCTACAGTACGGGGTGGCGATGCCAGGTGGGGCGGAAGCGATAATTCATGCCACCCGAACGTACGTGGACGGCCACCCAAACAGCCTGGTACTACAAACCGACATCGCGAATGCTTTCAATGGCATCGCGACAAGCTATCGCAGTTGCGTTACAAGAAGCCAGCCTGTCGCCGCTGGTGCCACTGGTTAGACTGACCTACGGTAACCCGTCGCAGCTGCATCTGGATACAAACTTTGCGAGCGAACCCCTGCGAAGTGAACGGGGCGTTCGCCAGGACGATCCACTGGGCCCACTCCTTTTTGCAGCAGGGATTCACCCCACACTTCGCGACACTGCAGCTTCGCACCCTGATGTGCTTTGTTTGGCGTGTATGCGGACGACGTGACATTCGTGGGTGAACCACGTGCAACTGTAGCTGCCTTCAACCACTTCACCACGAAGTTGGAATTACTGGGCCTGAAACACAACCCGCAGAAGTGCACGGCATGGAGCGCTGCCACGTGCGATTCAACTGAGCTGCCTCAAGGGGTGCCGTTCTGCAAGGACGGCGTCCGTCTGTTGGGTAGTTTTATAGGGGCGGCCGACGGGGCAGCCACGTGCTTGGCAGGGCAGCTGAAGGACTTGGCGAAACCATTGCCACTTATCGAGCAGGCCGACCCACAGGTCGCTTCGCTGCTGATCACGCGCTGCATTTCTCGGCGCGTGGCGTATCTCACTCGAACAACCCCCCTCAATCTCGTCTCCCGGGATACATGGACCGAGTGGGGCCGTGACCTCCTCACGGCACTACTCACCTTGTGCAACATTCGCGTTCCGGCGGGAAGAGCAGAACAGTCACGCGTATGGGCTCAGGCGTCCCTGCCCCCTTCTCTTGGGGGAGTAGGCATTACAGACCCGCTCGTCGAGGGAGTTTACAGTTTTGTCGCAAGCTTCACACAGGTGGCGCTGCTTTTCTCCGCGCTCGCGCTAGCCCCGGACTCCGCACTGTCTCACGCGCGCGGCCATATGCTCCTGCCTAGAGACGAGAGCACGCCGCTCCACTCCTGGCTCGCTGAATGCGAAACCGCCCTGCCTTCCGACGCGCGTGAGCTGCTGGATCGGGAACGTATTAAACGGACGGACGTCAAGCTGCAGCACGCCCTCGCCCTACAGGTCCACGGTAGCCGTTACGCGGTGCAAGTTCAGGCGACGAGGGACATGGAGCTGAATCCGCTTGCAGGCCACACGCAGCGGATGTTTTCACTAACGGGCTATGGCACGGGGGACTGGCTGACGGCGATACCTATAGCGGCGACAAGGCGCATTGGACTGGCACACTTCGCCAATGCCGTCAGATTCAGGCTTGGGCTGCCCTTCTCCACCCCCAAAAACTGTGACTGCACGGACCACACCGCCATCACGGACCCCCGCCTCCCAAACCACCTCCTTCGCTGCGGCACCGGCAAGCATCGCATCAACACCCATAACGAGCTCCGGGATGCTTGCATTAGTATGGCGCAGGATGCGGGATTCATTGTACACAGTGAGTCGGCCGCACACTGTCCCGTAGAGGAGCAGACGGCCGATTTCACCATGACGGACAGGAGCAGTGGGGCAGTTTGGGTGTGTGACGTGACTGTGACGGACCCCATCAGCACACGGGACCCGGAGGCATTGAAAGGCAGGGGTTGGGCGGCCAGGGAGCACGCAGACAAAAAGATCAAACACTATGCGAATAGACCTGAGACCGTTGGCTTTTTCCCGTTGGCGGTGGAGACCTATGGCTGCCCCTGTGCAGAGGTCCCCATCTTCCTGAAACTCTTGGCAGACACGGCGGCTCGGCGCCACTTCAACGCCGACTCTAACTCCTATCATGTGCATCGGTTCAGGCAGCGGTGGTCGGTTTCTCTGCAGAGAGCACAGTCGGTGGGCCTACTCCTAAAGTTGGGTGAGGCGGCGGCAGCTGAAAACCCCCCGGTGGGGGGAATCGGCCATGAACTACACCTAGGGGATTGTTTTGCAGTCTTAGAACCGCTGGTAGAACTCTAAAGGGGGATGGGTTGGGATTCGCATGCTTAACAACCTATATGTGTGTACCTTTCTGCCATATCAATATACGGACCATTAGAGAGAGAGAGAGAGAGAGAGAGAGAGAGAGAGAGAGAGAGAGAGAGAGAGAGAGAGAGAGAGAGAGAGAGAAACATTCACAAGCACACACATACATATACACACACCCACCCACCCACACATATATACATACACACATACTCACATGTACACACACACACACACACATACACATACACACACATTCACATAGATACACACACACACACACATATACACACACATACACACACACATTAATACACATAAACACAAAGCACACGCACACCTACACACGTGGTTTCACTCGTGCGAGGGGATGGTGCCCAAGAGCATTGCTTGATGTTACTCAATTGCTCATGCACGCGCTAACGTTGTGGGATAGCCGATTGTGCATGAAACCCTAACGCAGAAATTGACAATCATTGGATCGTGACGATGCTCTCACCGTACGAATACACAATAACCGACAAGACAGCGTTTATAATGTGAGGACGGCTCCACCAAGCACTACACTGGTGGTGCTCCTAGTGCGATAGTAGCATCATCCTGTCTATTATCTCACATGGATATTGGTTCCCATGGAAGGATAGGCCCACTGTACCTTTCGAAAGGAAAAGCCATGGAGGTGACCAGGCGCATTCGGATTTCACACGCGATGCCATTCGGGACCTCCTGCGAACAGGAGCAGCGGCAAAAGCTCCTAACCAGTCAACCCTACTATGCATTAGCCCACTCAATGTGGTCGCACAGCGAGAAAAGTTTCGGCTCAAACTTGACCTTCGGAAGGTCAACAAGCACTTGCGCATTCCAAAATTCAAGCCAGGAGGGGCAGGAGGAGTGGGGGTTCATTCAAGCCATGGACCAAACATGCCCTGAGGCTTAGAAGGCCCACTTGGACCGTTTCTAAGCACAGTGCGGGAGCAGCAAAGAGGAGTAGTGCGTTCGTTTCAAGCCCCGATGCTGGAGGGCTGCATGCAGGTGGTGCAATAGTAGCAGCAGCAGGGCATCATGCTAGTGGCAGCAATGGCAATAATGGCAACAATAGCAGCAGCAGCAGCAGCAGCAGTAAATCAATCAGCAGCAACAGTAGCAGAAGTTCCAGCACCATGATTGGCCTAGGCGGAGGCAGTAGCAGAAGCAGTTGCAACAGCAACCGTGTTAGCAGATGCATGGGAGACCAGAGGCACTTCACACACAGACGTTCAGCTCTAACCGAAAATTCTCGTTCTTCTCACAACACCTATGATCTGTAACACACCTGCAGTCCCTTACATCCCTCCCATGTCACACGTTTCAACAGCGGCTCAAGCGTCGGTTTGAGGTGCCTGCCAGCAGAATAGTCCAACCACTGCTGGCATGTCCTTCCAGATAACCAGCGTTATTGCCGCCTCAGCAATCAACGGCTCAAGCGTCGGTTTTGAGGAGCCTGCCTGCAGAATAGTCCAACCACCACTGGCATGTCCTCCCAGATGACCAGCGTTTTTGCCGCCGCTGCAAAGAACAACTCAAGCGTCGGTTTTGAGGTGCCTGTCTGCAGAATAGTCCAACCATCGCTAGCATGTCCTCCTAGATGACTCATTGCATGTGAAGGCGTGGCACCTCAACGGTGGTCACTCAGAGG